CAGGGAGACGGGGGTGGCGGGACCGCCCAAGTCCTCCACGGCTTTGCTCCGTCTCCCTGGTCTGCTGACCTGGGAGACACGGAGCAAAGCTGCAGAGCACGCGGGCAGCGGGACAGTCCAGGCGCACCGCGGCTGACCCACTGCTGGCGTGCTCCAAGGCTTTGCTCCCCGTCTCCCTGGTCTGCTGGTCAGTGGACTTTTGTGCAAGAGAGCCTCTAAACTGCATGGACAGCGCATGGAGTATAAACTGCATGGACACTCTCATGCAAGAAAGCTGATTGCCATTAACAGAATGGCCACCAGGGCTCCTGTGCTTCTTTTGATAGGCTGTTTTTGTGGAAAAACCCATTTCCTGTCCTGTTTTTGCTCTTGCGCACAAAGGAGTTATTCCTCGTAGAAATAAGAATACCTATCCCACAAAAAGCCCTCTTTTCTGTCCATTCACTGTAAATTTACTTGTGCAAAAACGCACTTGAGGTGTGGATGCTCTGCGGGTTTTTGCTCAAAACCCTGTAGTGTAGACGTAGGTTCAGAGACTGTGGAGCTGAGCCCAGCGCTGGGTCATGGAGCTCGCAGGAGGGAGGGTGCCCACTAATGCCCCATCGTGCTGTTGTGTTGCAGGGCTTGTGTATGACTCTGTGATGCTCAAACACCAGTGCTCCTGTGGGGACAACAGCAACCACCCTGAGCATGCTGGGAGAATTCAGAGCATCTGGTCCCGCCTACAGGAGCGGGGTCTGCGCAGCCAGTGCGAGGTAGGTGAGAGAGTGGAGGCTCAGCTGGTGCTGCCAAAGCCGGGGGAGGCCACTGACAGTGGGCGTCTTGCGTCAGGAAGACCCTGGTCTCCCTGCAGAGGTGGGAGCGGAGCCAAGACTCACAAGAAGCATGAGTCCTGCCAGGGAGTTCACTTGTTTCTGGGGACGAAAGCATGAAACGCTTGGATCGAGATCTCCAGGTGCTGGCCAGGGCCCACTGGCAGCCATGCATGCTGCCCACAGTGCTTCCAGCTTTGTGCCTCTCCTCTGGCTCCTGACCCAGTTCCAGCCCTCAGCCCTGCTGACCCCGCGCTTTGCACCGCTGGGACATAGCCGAGAGCATGGACATTAAGTATCACCACAGATGCCAGTGACAGCCCGCGCTGGGCAGTGCCATGTCTCTGACCCTGCAGCCACAGCCTTGCCCATGTACAGCCTCAACCTCTATGCAGTTAGGCCATTGGAAGCCGCCTGGCACTGACCTAGCTGTGGACGTGTCTTCACTTAAATGTGGGGGCTCCCAGCCCACCAGCGCATCCACCCCCAGGCTCTCCTTCCTGGTGCTCAGGTGCTGATCCCAGCCTACAGCTCTCATTCAGGCTGGTCGCTTCTCCGGGTAAGGCAGGGACGGGAGCCCCGCCAGAGGAGGCACATGGGCATACAGAGGAGGAGTGCCCCATCCCTGCCGCCCGAGGCTGCTAACTTGCCCTGCTCCCGTTTGTTGCCAGTGTCTGCGGGGACGCAAAGCAACCCTGGAGGAGCTGCAGTCGGTGCACACTGAGCGCCACGTCTTCCTCTACGGCACCAACCCCCTCAATCGCCTCAAACTGGACAATGGGAAACTGGCAGGTAGGAGCCTGGGCTCCCCTCCCCCATAGGGACAGTACCCTGCACTGGGCACAAACTGCCTCCTGGGGGGACTGGTGTTCCCGATGCCCCTGGGCACACAGCCATCTTAGGGCTCGCACACTTTGGGCATTGTGCAGTTTGAGACCCATTTGCTGCTTCTGCACACTGGGGCCCAGCCCTCTCCCCTGGGTGCTGATCCCCAGGCCCCATCATGTGCTGTGCCCACACTCGAGGGCTAAGGGCAGATCACAGAGGGAGCTTCTGGGTGTGCTGGAAAACCTGCATCCAAGTGGGCTGACTCCTGCCCAGCAGGCAGCTAACACTAGGGGTGTGTCTAGACTACAGGGTTTTTTCAACAAAAGTGGACTTTTGTCGCCAAAACTATACCTGCGTCTACACTGCTGCTGAGTTCTGTCGGCGTAACGTCGATAGAACTCGGCAGTTTTGTCGACGGCTGTAGACCTTATTCTACGAGGAATAACGCCTTTTGTCGACAGAGTTCTGTCGATAGAAGGCACTATTGCATCTACACTGTCCTTTGCCTCTACACTGTCATGTCGACAGAGCGGCTTGCTTTGTCAACAGAACTGGCTGTAGTCTAGGCGCTCTTTGTCAACAGAAGCATTGTCAACAGTATCTGCCTGTCATCTAGGCTGTGTCTAGACTACATGCCTCTGTCGGCAGAGGCATGTAGATTAGACACATAGGCAAAGGCAAATGAAGCCACGATTTAAATGATCGCGGCTTCATTTAAATTTACATGGCTGCCGCGCTGAGCCGACAAACAGCTGATCAGCTGTTTGTCCGCTCAGCGCACTAGTCTGGACGCTCCCCTGCCGACATCAAAGCCCTTTGTCTGCATCCCCGTCATTTCTCGTGGGATGAGGTTTACCGGGGCTGCCGACAAAGGGCTTTGATGTCGGCAGGGGAGCGTCCAGACTAGTGCGCTGAGCGGACAAACAGCTGATCAGCTGTTTGTCGGCTCAGCGCGGCAGCCAGGTAAATTTAAATGAAGCCACGATCATTTAAATCACGGCTTCATTTGCCTTTGCCAAAACAACGAATCTACATGGCTCTGTAGACGGAGCCATGTAGTTTAGACGTACCCCTAGACGTACCCTAGCTGAGCAGGTTGGCTTCCTCAGCTGCAGGCAGAATGCAGGCTCCAGTGCACCCCAGGGCTGGTTCTCCACTGCATGCAGCTCAGCATGGCTCTGAGTAAATGCCACCCCAGAGGCAGAGCTGGAGGCAGAATGTGGGGTGGACATGGCCAGGCCAAGCCTCCACCCCTGCCTGCCATGGCACTAGCCCCAGGGAGGGGCACGCTGGCTCCAGTTCATCGCCATGCGCCCATTGCAGGCAGCTTGAGGTTGTTCAGTCCAAGCCAAGGGGGTGCGTCAACTGGGCCAGGATGCTGCTGCTAAACTAATCTACCCACTCCTGGCAGTGCAGATGGGGTAGGCTCCTGAGGTCCCTGGCAGGAGCCAGTCATAGGAGAGAGCTGAGCAGCAGCCTGATTGGGATGCCCTGACTTCTGGGGAGGGGTAGGAGCAATAGCCGTGGGGTGCTGCCCTCTGTCCCTGCTGGGCTCAGGAGAAGCAGATACATGCAGCCATCCCAGCTGGTCCCACTGCTGCCACTAACCCCCGTCCCAGCTCTCCAGACACTCCCATTCAGCTCCCTGCATCATTCCCCAGCACATTCCCCCTGCCCAGGTGCCGGCTGCTGCAGGCTCTGTCCAGCTCTGGCCATGCGTCTCCGCCAAACGCTGGAAGGTAAAGCCAAACGCTGGAAGGTAAAGCTGAACGCTTTCCTGGCAGCCAGGCCAGGTGTCTCCTGCCCCCAGGCCTTTCCCCTTTCAAGTGTCTCCTGCCCCCCTCACCCTCAAGGCACCTTCTACCCCCCTCACCCTCTTGCCCCCCAACCCTCAGGCGCCTCCTGCCACTCACCACCACCCCCTAGCTGCTCCTTCTGCCTGCCTGACAACCTGTAGTGCCCCCGGTGCCCTCTCCCTGGCCCTGACCGCCTCTCTCTCTTGCAGGGATCCTGTCGCAGAGGATGTTCGTCATGCTGCCCTGTGGGGGCGTGGGGGTAAGTGACAGGCTCTGCTTAGTGGGAGGGTCTCACGGTGGGTGGCTCTGGGTGCTGGGCCTCTTGCCCAGGCTGGACAGAGCAGGAACCCTCCGCCCCCAAGATGGAGCCGGTAGCACTGGGGCTCAGTAACTCAGGCCCCCCGCCCTTGCCCTGTGGGCCTAGCCAAGCACGCTGGCCCCTGGACAGCCATTGGCCCTGTGGCCACGGAGCAGCTCAAGGGACCAGTCATCTCCAGGCGATGGGCTCCCAGGGTCAGGGCAACCCCTCCCCCCTGTCTGTTGTTCGTGACAGTCATGGAGGGGCTCAGCCAGGTGCTGGAAGCCTGGTGCCCTCAGAGCAGGGTTGGTCCCAGCCAAGGCAGGCCAGGGGAGTAGGGAGGGACCCAGGTGGAGCAGGGTTCGAGGGGCAGAGCAGTAGCAGTAGGGGAGAGCAAACCAGCTGTGCCCCTTGCCCAATGCTCCAGACTCTTCTGCTGCCTCTTTCCTTTCGCAGCTTGCTGCGCTGGTTTCTGTCATTCACTGCACTCTCCTCTGTCTGTCTGTCTCCCTCTCCTTCTCTTTCAGGAAGTGTCTCACTCTCTCCTGCTCTGGCTCTCCACCTCCCCTGCCCTTGCTGCTGGGCCACTGGCCCCGCACCCTCCCATCTGCACCTTTTCTCCTCTGCCTCCCCTCCTCCCCTCTGGCTGGCCCCTCCCCCAGGCAGAGCAGAGCAGAGCGACGCTGCCCCTGTCTGTGGGCAAGGGGCGTTTGAGCCGCACACATGGACTTGATCAGAAGAGACTGAGGTTTCCGCTCTGGCTCGGCCCATGACGTGACCCTGATCAAACCAAGATGTTTGTTTAAGCAATAAAATAAAATAATGAAGGTAAAATGCGTTTTCTCCACCCCGGCCCCAGCCCCAGGTACCGGGGAGCCACACTGCGCAGAGCCTGCATTGACTCCCTCCCGCCTCCAGCCCTGCTCAGCCATGGGCCGGGGCCACGTGGGAAGCTGATGCCCTGGAAGCTGGCCCAGCCTGGGCTCTCAGAGTGCAGAGGCCTGCCTGGCTTGGGAACTGGCGTTTGGGCATTAAGCCCCTTTGGCTGCCCTCTGAGGCCTGGGCTTCGGCCTGTGGGGCACCGAGCAGCCAGCCAGCAGGGTGCTGCCAGAGCCAGCCCGCATGGATGCTTTGACCCCTCATAGACTCCCCCGTGCCCAAGCGCTTCCGGGGTGGCCTGCCCTGCTCACTGCATTCCTGTCCGCTTGCTTTCAGGTGGACAGCGACACTATCTGGAATGAGCTGCACTCCTCCAATGCTGCCCGCTGGGCTGCCGGCAGCGTCACCGACCTGGCCTTCAAGGTGGCCACGAGGGAGCTCAAGGTAGTAGGAGGCCAGGAAATGAGCACTGGCACGGTGCCAGTGGCTGGGGTGGGAACCCCCGGCCATTGCCTTGGCTGGTGGGGAATCACAGGGGTGCACTCATCCTCCTGTGTGGGTCTCGGCAGTGGTTCTAGGCCTTAGTGCAGGCCCACCAATGTCTGGAGCCCTGGACAGCAGCCTCTCCAGGCATTTCCTTCTGGAAGGCGTAGGCACCTGGACTTTATCTGGATGGGGCAACGGAGGGCATTGGTGGGGTCAGCAGGCTTGACATGGTGGTGAGAGGGCTCCTCTCGCCAGCCAGCTCAGAAACAGAGGCAGCCAGGTCCCTTAGACATGCCAGACCTGTCCTTTCTCTCGAGCTAAGAGAGATGCTAATTCAGCATGGGAACAAATGGCAGCCAGCAAGGAGGGGCCCAGCTGGGAGGTGTCACCGATGGCAGGGTCTGGCAGGAGGATTTCACATCTCTGAGTGCCATGACCAGAATCACTGGGGTCTAATGGTGGCGGCTCCGTGCAATGGCTCCAGGACTGAGCTCTGGCTCCCCCTAGACAGGCCCTGCAGACACACTCCCATCGGAGCCTGACAAAAACTCCTGTGGCCAGGCAGGCTGAAGCGCTTCCGGGTGTGGATCACCTCAGTATCCTCTAGGGTGCATTGGGTTGGAGAGAGCACCCCGGATGCCCTCAGGGAAAGCCTGACCCGTGTCCTGGGAGCAGGGGGAAGAGATGGGCAAGAACAGCCCCACAATCACAGTCTTTCTCTTGTCCCCAGAATGGCTTTGCTGTGGTGCGACCCCCAGGACACCATGCGGACCCTTCCACTGCCATGTAAGAGCCTTCGTCTCTCCCTCTGACCCTGGCTGCTCTCCGCCCAAAGAGCGTGAGCCAGGCTGCTGCAGGGAGCAGGCCATGGACCCAGCTTTGGCTCCCCCTTGTGTAGTATGGGACCAACCAGCAGAGGGGAGGAGAAGCAGTGAGGAGAGGGGAAAACCCGCCCCACCATGAGGGCAGTGGGTGGAGGGCAGGGGAAGGGAGCACCCGCCCCATCCAGAGGGCAGGGGAGAGGCTGGAGAACCAGCATGGCAGCGGGGGTGGCTGTCTGGGAGGACACGGTGGCTGCTTGGGGAGGAGGCCTAGACACTAACAAGCTTCTGCTCTTCCCTCCTTATAGGGGTTTCTGCTTTTTCAACTCAGTGGCAATAGCAGCTAAGCAGCTGCAGCAGAAGGGGAAGCTCAGTAAAATCCTCATTGTGGACTGGGTGAGTCTCCTTCAGCCCTTCCTCCCCCCACACCTTCTCCCCATTCCACCCTCTCCTCGGCTGTTCCCCACAGTTCCTCCTTGCTTGTTAGTTCTGGGCAGAGCCCAGTCAGCTGTATGATGCAACAAGTCACATGTCCCCAGTGATGTAGATAGACATGGAAGGGCTGCGCTCTTTCTCTCAGGAGTGCCAGCTGGACAGTAACGCAGCCAACAGGCAGCCAGCTTAGACTGACGGATACAGCATTGTCCTGCCTTAGAGGCCAGTGGCTTTGCTGATCGGGGTTACGGGTCAAGACTGAGGGGCACTGGCAGAGTTTAGTGGGTGGGACAGTAGTGACTGCAGGTCAGGATGGAGAGGCACTGGCAGAACTGTGGAGGTGAAGTTAGTAGGTGGCCGCAGGTCGGGATTGAGGAGCATGGCAGAGCTGGGTGGGGGGTGGGATCCCAAAGATGCAGCCTGGAACTGGGACCCCTTAAGTGCCCCCTTAGCTCTCCAACCTGGGCTGTCTCTCACAACAGTGTGCTAGTGACCAGCCCCCAGGTGCTCTTATCACTCAGCACAATCCTGCACCCAGCTAGACTGCATGGCTGCTCCCAGAGCCACTCACAAATCACACCGAGAAAGGTACCAGCTAGTTCTCTCCAGCCTTACATAAGAACATAAGAACATAAATGATCTGGAGAAAGGGGTAAGCAGTGAGGTAGTAAAGTTTGCAGATGATACCAAACTGTTTAGGATAGTCAAGACACAAGCAGACTGTGAGGGACTCCAAGAAGATCTCACCAAACTGAGTGATTGGGCAACAAAATGGCAAATGAAATTTAATGTGGATAAGTGTAAAGTAATGCACATCGGGAAAAATAACCCCAACTATACGTACAGTATGAAGGGGGCTAATTTGGCTACGACAAATCAGGAAAGAGATCTTGGAGTTATCGTGGACAGTTCTCTGAAAACTTCCACACAATGTGCCGCGGCGATCAAAAAGGCAAATAGGATGCTAGGAATTATTAGGAAAGGGATAGAAAATAAGACCCAGAATATCTTACTGCCCCTGTATAAAACTATGGTACGCCCACATCTTGAATACTGTGTACAGATGTGGTCTCCTCACCTCAAAAAAGATATTTTGGCCTTGGAAAGGGTTCAGAAAAGGGCAACTAAAATGATTAGGGATTTGGAACGGGTCCCATATGAGGAGAGGCTAAAGAGACTGGGACTTTTCAGTTTAGAAAAAAGGAGACTGAGGGGGGATATGATAGAGGTCTATAAAATCATGAGTGGTGTGGAGAGGGCTGATAAAGAAAAGTTATTTATTAGTTCCCATAATAGAAGAACTAGAGGACACCAAATGAAATTAATGGGTAGCAGGTTTAAAACTAATAAAAGAAAGTTCTTCTTCACACAGCGTGTAGTCAACCTGTGGAACTCCTTGCCAGAGGAGGCGGTGAAGGCTAGGACTATAATAGAGTTTAAAGAGAAGCTAGATAATTTCATGGAGGTTAGGTCCATAAAAGGCTATTAGCCAGGGGATAAAATGGTGTCCTTGGCCTCTGTTTGTCAGAGGCTGGAGAGGGATGGCAGGAGACAAATCGCTTGATCATTGTCTTCAGTCCACCGTCTCTGGGGCATCTGGTGCTGGCCAGTGTCGGCAGACAGGATACTGGCTAGATGGACCTTTTGGTCTGACCCAGTATGGCTGTTCTTATGTTCTTAGTAATTCAGTTTAAAATATTGTCAAAAAAGAAGCATAGGCAGACATGATGAAAGTTAGGGACCAGATTAATTTTCTATTGGGAAAAAAAATCGAGCCTTTGTCCACGATCTCCGCACTAGGCACAGGAAAGTGGCCGTCTAGGGCAGGAGAGCTGCCAGCCTGGCCACCCAAGAGCAGGTTGGCATAAAAATCAAGGGGTCCACTGAGACCCCCGACCCTGAGCACTGAGCTTACAATGGCCGTCCTAGGTCAGACCAAAGGTCCATCTAGCCCAGTAGCCTGTCTGCTGACAGCGGCCAACCCTAGGGACCCTGGAGGGGATGGACCGAAGACAATGACCAAGCCATTTGTCTCGTGCCATCCCTCTCCAGCCTTCCACAAACTTTGGGCAGGGACACCATTTCTACCCCCTAGCTAATAGCACTCCATGGACCCAACCTCCATGACTTGATCTCACTTCTCTTTAACCTCTGTTGTAGTTGTAGCCTTCACAGCCTCCTGCAGCAAGGAGTTCCGCAGGTTAACTATTTGCTTTATGAAGAACAACAACTTTCTCTTACTAGTTTCAAGCCTGATACCCATTCCTTTCCTTTGGTGCCCTCTAGTCCTTCTTTATGGGAACTCATGAAGAACTTTTCTGAATGCACCCTCTTCACCCAACCCCTGCTTTTAGAGACCTCTATCCTGTCCCCCCTCCGTCTCCTCTTTTCTAAGCTGAACAGTCCCAGTCTCTGTAGCCTCTCTTCATATGGGACCTGTTCCCAACCCCTCCTAGTGAAACAGTTTTTCCTAATATCCAACCTGGACCTCCCCCACTGTAACTTGAGCCCATTGCTCTTTGTTCTGCCATCCATCACTCCTGAGAACAGCCGCTCTCCATCCTCTTTGGAACCTCCCTTCAGGAAGTTGAAGGCTGTTGTCAAACCCCCCCCTCACACTTTGCTTCTGCAGACTAAATAACCCAAATCCCTCAGCCTCTTCTTATAGGTCATGTGCTCCAGCCCCCTAATCATTTTGGTTGCCCTCCGCTGGACCCTTTCCAATGCCTCCCATGTCCTTTCTGTAGTGGGGGGCTCAGAACTGGACACAATACTCCAGATGTGGCCTCACCAGACCACCTTGTATCTTGGGGAGGGTCTTCATCTTCTCAGTATTCTTGATGCTTCCAGCGTAGGCGGGGCAGGAGAAAGGCCAAAGCCTGGTGCCACTGTCCCCTAGAAGGCACTTGTCGGAGATCTGTGCTGTCTTTGTGCCTGGGCTCCTCTGGGCTGCTGGCTCTGGAGCCATCCATGGACAGAGAAAATGGAGCTTGCTTACAGCCTCTCTCTCACGTAGGATGTTCACCATGGCAACGGCACCCAGCAAGTGTTCTACAAAGACCCAGATATTCTCTACATCTCATTACATCGCCATGATGACGGCAACTTTTTCCCTGGCAGCGGGGCAGCGGATGAGGTGAGAGCATTGGTCTCTGAGCCTCTCCCAGATTCCCTCAGCTCCGTGTCTTCTGGGAGGCAAGAGGATGGGAGCAGCATGTGTGGCGGGGGGCAAGCTGGAGCATGGAAAGAGCAGAATTAGCCAGATTCCCTGTTGAATGGACTCATTCTGACCCCTTTGGCACTCTTATGAGCATCATCCTCCTGTGCATCACGGAAGTTCACATGGAGGCCTGCCAAGAGCCAATGGTGGTCGCGTGCTCCTGACCAGGTGGAGCCTGGCATGTTTTGGTCCATGAGCCGTCCCAGCTCTGGCGAGCCTGCTTGAGGTCGAGGGGCTGAAGACGTGGCAGCTCCTTCGCTTAACGGGGAGCAAGAAAGAGCCGGCCTGAAAGCACGCACACAGGGAGGAGATTTCTGAGTGGAGGGAGCTCTTTAATCTTGCAGATATAAGCAGGAGGAAATCCAGTGGCTGAAGCTGAAGCCAGACAAAGTGAGACTGGAAACAGGGTGTAATGATTTAATGGAGGGAGGGGCACACCCATCAGAACAGCCCCCCAGGGACGAGCATTCTCCATTGCTTGGAGCCTGGGTGTCCCTTCGTACAAGATCTGCAGGATCGACAGGGAAAAGCTGGGTGGAGACCAGGGATCAGCAAAGCTTGGACAAGAGAAGGGGAAGTTTGTACGGGTGCAGGCTGATTTGGGAAGTTTGGGCAGGGCCACGGGGCTCCTTCTGCTTGGAGAGGCTGGGTGAGATTATGGAAGGTCTGAGCAGGGGAGGCTGGCCAGGGCGAGGGAGGCAGAGCAGGGTCTGTGCTGTTTTGCCACTCGAGTGTGCCCAGCAGCTCTGCTTAGTCCTGAGATGATCCCCCCCCACGGCCGCCCTGCCCACAACCACCCAGCCTCCCCCAGGGCTGTGCTGTGCCAGCCCCCACCCCGGCTGTGTTGTCCCTACATCACCCGGGAGGCCAGCCTGGCTCCAGGAGCACGGAGGGCGAAGGCCTGAACAAGGAGCCCACTCAGCCCCTTTGCAAAGTGTTCACAGGGGTTTGTGCTGTGAAGCGAGTGGCTTTTTGAGCTCCCGTCCCTCGTCCAGGTGGGTGCCCCAGCGGCTGTGGGCGGGTTATGATGCTCAGCCGGTAGCTGCAGTTACTAGGCACCTCGAGCTGTTTTCTGCTCCACTCCTCCCTGCCCGTGCTGCAATCCCCATAGTTTCACCAGGCAGCTGCTGGGCACAGGTGGGAGTGTCAGCGCCTCCTTCCACACACGCCCAGCTGTGTGGGACAAGGCCGCTGTCTGGCCCAGGACAGCTCTCCAGCAGCAGATGCGCTGAGATCCACCCTGTCCATCAAGCTGCCGCCAGCCAGCGTCACCTTGGGCAGCTATCTCAGGGTTGGAGCAACCCTGATGCAGGCCCAGCAGCAATCTCCCAGGAATCTCCCTGGGGATTATTTCAGGGACGTCCAGGCCCTGGTGCCCAGGTTGTAGGGAGACCCCACAGCTCCTTACCGGGCGTCAGGGCTTTGCTGGACAGTCCCTGTGAGGGGCAGCCTGAGCCCAAGGACCGGGCCACGTCGGCTGTGGAGCATGCGACTCTCCTGCCTGGACCTGCAGCCAGTCCTGGCTGGGGAGCTGCCCTGGCATGGCACAGCGGGCATGCGGGGCCCTGCATTGCTCACCACGCCCCCAGCTGCAGCGCTCTCCTGTTCTCTTCCAGGTTGGCTCTGGCGCTGGCAAGGGATTTAACGTCAACGTGGCTTGGACTGGTGGGCTTGCGGCTGTGGAGCATGCGACTCTCCTGCCTGGACCTGCAGCCAGTCCTGGCTGGGGAGCTGCCCTGGCATGGCACAGCGGGCATGCGGGGCCCTGCATTGCTCACCACGCCCCCAGCTGCAGCGCTCTCCTGTTCTCTTCCAGGTTGGCTCTGGCGCTGGCAAGGGATTTAACGTCAACGTGGCTTGGACTGGTGGGCTTGACCCACCCATGGGCGATCCGGAGTACTTGGCAGCTTTCAGGTAGCCTTCCTCTGGAGGGTTCTGTTCACAGCCGTGCCCCTCCCTGTCCGATCACCTCACCCCGTCTGCCTCTCCCCATCCCTTCCCAGCCTCCCTTCCCCGTCTGCCCCGTCACACCTCGCCCTGTCTGCCTCTCCCTCACACCTCGCCCTGTCTGCCTCTCCCCATCCCTCCGTCACACCTCCCCCTGTCTGCCTCTCCCAGCCTGTCCTCCCCGTCTGCCCCGTCACACCTCACCCTGTCTGTCTCTCCCAGCCTCTCCTCCCCATCTGCCCCGTCACACCTCCCCCTGTCTGCCTCTCCCAGCCTGTCCTCCCCGTCTGCCCCGTCACACCTCACCCTGTCTGTCTCTCCCAGCCTCTCCTCCCCATCTGCCCCGTCACACCTCCCCCTGTCTGCCTCTCCCAGCCTGTCCTCCCCGTCTGCCCCGTCACACCTCACCCTGTCTGTCTCTCCCAGCCTCTCCTCCCCATCTGCCCCGTCACACCTCCCCCTGTCTGCCTCTCCCAGCCTGTCCTCCCCGTCTGCCCCGTCACACCTCACCCTGTCTGTCTCTCCCAGCCTCTCCTCCCCATCTGCCCCGTCACACCTCCCCCTGTCTGCCTCTCCCAGCCTGTCCTCCCCGTCTGCCCCGTCACACCTCACCCTGTCTGTCTCTCCCAGCCTCTCCTCCCCATCTGCCCCGTCACACCTCCCCCTGTCTGCCTCTCCCAGCCTGTCCTCCCCGTCTGCCCCGTCACACCTCACCCTGTCTGTCTCTCCCAGCCTCTCCTCCCCATCTGCCCCGTCACACCTCCCCCTGTCTGCCTCTCCCAGCCTGTCCTCCCCGTCTGCCCCGTCACACCTCACCCTGTCTGTCTCTCCCAGCCTCTCCTCCCCATCTGCCCCGTCACACCTCCCCCTGTCTGCCTCTCCCAGCCTGTCCTCCCCGTCTGCCCCGTCACACCTCACCCTGTCTGTCTCTCCCAGCCTCTCCTCCCCATCTGCCCCGTCACACCTCCCCCTGTCTGCCTCTCCCAGCCTGTCCTCCCCGTCTGCCCCGTCACACCTCACCCTGTCTGTCTCTCCCAGCCTCTCCTCCCCATCTGCCCCGTCACACCTCCCCCTGTCTGCCTCTCCCAGCCTGTCCTCCCCGTCTGCCCCGTCACACCTCACCCTGTCTGTCTCTCCCAGCCTCTCCTCCCCATCTGCCCCGTCACACCTCCCCCTGTCTGCCTCTCCCAGCCTGTCCTCCCCGTCTGCCCCGTCACACCTCACCCTGTCTGTCTCTCCCAGCCTCTCCTCCCCATCTGCCCCGTCACACCTCCCCCTGTCTGCCTCTCCCAGCCTGTCCTCCCCGTCTGCCCCGTCACACCTCACCCTGTCTGTCTCTCCCAGCCTCTCCTCCCCATCTGCCCCGTCACACCTCCCCCTGTCTGCCTCTCCCAGCCTGTCCTCCCCGTCTGCCCCGTCACACCTCACCCTGTCTGTCTCTCCCAGCCTCTCCTCCCCATCTGCCCCGTCACACCTCCCCCTGTCTGCCTCTCCCAGCCTGTCCTCCCCGTCTGCCCCGTCACACCTCACCCTGTCTGTCTCTCCCAGCCTCTCCTCCCCATCTGCCCCGTCACACCTCCCCCTGTCTGCCTCTCCCAGCCTGTCCTCCCCGTCTGCCCCGTCACACCTCACCCTGTCTGCCTCTCCCATCCTCCCCTCCCAGTCTGCCCGTCACACCTCGCCCTGTCTGCCTCTTCCAGCCTCCCCCTCTCCATCTATTCCCAACCTCCCCTCCTGCCCACGTCGCGCCTAATCCCGTCTGCCCCTTCCCCGTCCCTTCCTAGCCTCTCCTCCCCTTCTGACCCAGTCGTGTGCTGGTCTCTATAAAGATCCAATGACAGTGTTTACACAGGGCCTGTCACCACTGTAGTTTTGTGCAGAGACTTGTGTCTGCCAGCTGGGTGAGGCATGAGGCCCACCCCAGGTGTGCACAGTCTGTCAATGCTGCTCCACATACTCTAGCTGCATCAGTGTCGGAACTGGCCTGGAAGCCGGGCTGCCCAGCCCTGCTGTGTACTCGGCCGCAAGCCATCGCCCTTGCTGAACGTGGATTGTTTTCTTCCCTGGCAGGACTGTCGTGATGCCGATTGCCCACGAGTTCTCTCCGGAGGTGGTGTTGGTGTCTGCGGGGTTTGACGCAGCTGACGGCCACCCACCACCTCTGGGAGGCTACAAAGTCTCTGCCAAATGTAAGGAGCTGCAGCTGATGCTCGTGCCCTGGCTGGTTAGGAAGCACGTTGGGGCTGGGGCTGTCCGGAGCTGCTACAGGAGGCCAGTGGGGGAGGAGTGTGGATGCTCGGAGGAGGGGAGAGCTGCTGGCCCTGCTCCCACAGCAGTGCTGGCCCAGAGGGGCTCTCCACGCAGCAAAGGCCAGGGCACGGGGGCTGTGCCTGGGTGGTTCTTGTAATAGCTACCCACGTCTATGCTCTGTGATGTAGCAGCCACCCCATGCCCCCTGGTGGGAGTGGCTCGGCCCTGCTGGCTGCAGGAGGCCGGAGGGCCACGAGGGAGCTACCCAGCCCTAGGTGGCAGGTCAGTCTGTTGCCCAGTTGCAGGCACACGTGGAGGCTGACAGTCTGGGCTGGGGCCCGATGCCAGCTGCGTGCCCCTGTGCAGCCCACTCCTCTGCTGGCCAGGGCAGGGTGCCGGGGCATGAGCAGTGCAGCAGGGTGGCTGACAGCCGGCCCCTTTGGCTTCTTCCTCCGCAGGCTTCGGCTACATGACCCGACAGCTGATGAGTCTGGCAGGGGGAGCCATCGTCCTCGCCCTAGAAGGGGGTCATGACCTCACGGCCATCTGCGATGCCTCGGAGGCCTGTGTGGCTGCCCTGCTGGGCAAAGAGGTGAGGTGGTGAGCTCTGGCATTGCTCCCCAGCCCCAGTGGGGAGGGCAGGGCAGTGGCTCCAGTGAGGCAAATCTTGGGACTTGTTAGAGGAGAGGCACTCGTCCAGCTCCTGTCCACTGGACACTGTCACGTGGCAGGGTACCCCTTCCCCCACAGCCCAGGGGCCTGCTGTCTTCTCAGTATCGGGGAGGGCACGTGGGGGCAGGACTTGGGAACTGCCCACTCAGGGCTGATCTGTTATCACAGGCCCTGTGGTCCCCACAAGTCTTCTCCTCTTCCACTCTTAGCCGTGCAGATGGACAGGAGCCAGACTGCCCTAGAATCCGCATGCAGGGCAGCAGGGTGCAGCTGTGTAGCCCCCTGGGACTGAGGGGAATCACATGACTCTCCCTGAGCTCCCCTCAAGGCTGGGAGCAGCACTCATGACCTTGCTGGTGTTTGTCCCTGCAGCTGGATCCTCTCCCAGAGGAGAGCGTGAGGCAGAAGCCGAACCCCAACGCCGTGCGCTCCTTGGAAGCAGTGATGCGGGTCCAGAGTGAGTGTCGCTGGGAGGAGCCGACTCCAGGGGAGTCAGAAACGGGCTCTGGGTGGGATCAGCCTCCAAGGCCAGACCCCAGTAACCCCACCATGGGTACTCAGCAGCTGCCTTAGCTAGGGCGGGAGGGGCTGCTGGACTCCCAGCTCCTTGGCTCTGTGGCTGCAGATGCCCTCCCCGATACTGCCTAGAGCTGCAGTCAAGGGCCCGGCCCCAGTGCCACAGGACACGTCTCCCTCTCCGAGAAGGCTGAACCTAGCCACTCACCCCAGGGAACTTGGGGCAGCCTCTAATGCAGGCGAGCCCAGACCCCCAGAGGCTCCACCTGCTCCCTGTACACAGCAAGCCCCCTCCCCCTCTCCTCCTTCCCCCCCACTCTGAGAATGAGGAGCCTGCATGGAGGGGGGGCCCCCTAAGCCCCGTCTCTCTTTCAGGTCAGTACTGGGGCGCTGTGCAGCGCTTTGCCTCCAAGGTGAGCTGCTCCTTCCTGGAAGCGCAACACCATGACCCAGAAGAGGTGGAGACCGTGACGGCCTTGGCCTCCCTGTCAGTGGCGGCGATGGCGGAGAAGAGGTGATGATGCCATTCCCTGTAGCCCCTGGGTCTCCCAAACCCCAGCACCCTCTCTGGCCTTGAGCCCCTTGGCAGCATGGTGCCAGTGTGCTGCCAGCCATGGCATAGGCAAGCTGTGTACCTGCGGGACCTCCCGGCAGATGCCAGCTTTTGAGAGGAGTCACAACCTACCACCAGCCCCCAGTCCGTAACCAGCAACTTCCTGAGCCCAGCCTGCACCGGCTCTGGGAATGCAGCACAAACGGCCCTCAGAGGCACCAAGGCAGCGCAGAGAATTCCCGCAGCTTGTGCTGCCAGCCATGGCATAGGCAAGCTGTGTACCTGCGGGACCTCCCGGCAGATGCCAGCTTTTGAGAGGAGTCACAACCTACCACCAGCCCCCAGTCCGTAACCAGCAACTTCCTGAGCCCAGCCTGCACCGGCTCTGGGAATGCAGCACAAACGGCCCTCAGAGGCACCAAGGCAGCGCAGAGAATTCCCGCAGCTCAGAGCCGGTCCATGGGGCCATAGGGCACCCACTAGGGAAAGG